ATATCAGGTTGCCTTGACGTTCTGGAGGCAGTCTGCATGCGACAGAAATTGTGCCAAGCATTGGCAAACGTTTTAAATCTGGATGATCTAGATGAGCAAGTGCAATTCACTTGTGTTCTTTGGTGGAAACAACATGAAACAATCCATGTTTCTTTGGCTAGGGCTAGGACTGCCTTGGAGTCTTTTTGCCTTGGAATCCAGGTGGAACTTCGCCGTGGAGCGATGAATCCCGAGAACTGGCAGGTGGGTCTGGACCCTTGGGGCACCAAACATCTGGTTCCCACGGTGGGTTCCAACGGCTCACTAACAGCGTGTTTCGGGATGGAAACAGGGAGGGTTCCCTTCACGGGTCCGTGGACGTCCCTTCACGTGCCTTCCATCCGATTCCCGAGACGACCCGTCGATTCCCGAGACGCGGTGACGCAGGTGAAGTCGGTGCCTGCGCACGAGGGCGGCATCGCCTCGCTGGACTGGTCTCCGAGCTCCTCTCCCGCGGTCCTGGCAACAGGTTGCGAAAGCGATCTTGCTTGGCTGGAATCGTGTGGTGGGTGCAGAAGACACATGCAATACCCATTAAATTCTAATGAACTACTGTATATAATCTGTATATTATATCGCTTGAATGCATAATACTGGACACTGGATTGTGACCATGCCTGTTGATGTGAAGCGATACACTCTGTGAAAAGGAATCAGTTTCAGATGTTCTTTCTTGTCATTCGTGTGCAGGCCCTGCTGTGGCCAGAGCGCATGGTCGATGGCTCGGGGTCTGGCACCCGAGAAGCTGCGAAAGCTGCGAAACTGCGAATCAAAAACTGTGCCTTAATGTGTCTTTTGGTAGTGTTTTTAGCTTAGACCGTCTCTATGTGTCTTTGTTTTGGTTTGTTATGCATGTGTTCACCCATGCAGAAGTGGGGATGTGATATTTGATGATATTTGTCACTAGTCCTTTACATGTGAAGTTGATAAATAGGCTTGAGATGTAACGGTGAGCACGCTTCCAGGAAGAGACAAATACACACTCTATTTTATAGTCTAACAGACACATATACTGTAATAAATACGAACATGCATGCTGAACTCCTGAAATACAACACCAGAGATCCAACTTTTTAAAGTTTTTGAGACATACTGTATGAGACCTTTATGGGGATAGTAAAACATTTGAAAAAAAACATGTGATGCAAGTTCACCACTCTGAGGTTTCCCATTTAGTTTGTGCTTCCTTTTCATATATTGCTTTGTGAACAAATACCACATCTGCAGAGACAACAGTGAAACAACATTCGCTTTTGGTAGTTCGAGCGTATTCAAGAAACAAGGCGTCTTCTTAACAAAAAGTATTTCTGGTTCACATTTTTTCTTCGTCAACAAATTACACATTCAGAAAGCAGCAAACCTTTGGGACTCTCAATCAAAGATAGGTGGAGAGACTCAAGCAAGGAAGACAAAGACAAGTGCAGGTCCGGATGAGACAAATGGACAGCTTAAGGTTGGCAATCCTTGAGATGATGGTTTCATTTTGTTTCCACGCAGAAAGGGCTTTCGCACGCTGGCCATTGGATACCCGTCCTTCAAATAGACTGAAATGCCTGCGGTTTGCTTTGAATGTCAAGCTGAGACTGAGATCAGTAGGCATCGGTGCATATCATGGCATATCATTTCAGCATATTATAGCATCTCGTTATATCATATCATAGCAATCATGACAGTTACCATCCCATCATATCCCATCCAACTCAGCAGTCCCAAAGTCCAAGAGGCTAGACGCTTGGCGACATGTGGAGCTGATGGACAGTTGATCATATGGCGTGCCTTGTCCCGATTCTCGCCCCGACGTCCGGTGAGCTGGGTGACCTTACGAGCGTCCCAACTGGCTTCACCAGTTCTACATAACATATGGCGAGACGCCAGCATCTTCCAACCAGTTCGTTTCTGCGGATTCAAGGAAGGTACCAGTCGTTTTTGCATGAAAGGGGACAAGAGGCCTAAGAAGCCTCCACAGTGCCGTGTTCTGCTGGCACATTGCAGGTATTGATGCCAAGAACGATTCCTTTCATCGGGAGCACGTGCTGGATGGTGACCAGATTGGTGGCAATGTGGTGCACTTAGAGCAAAAATGGATTGCCAACCCGAGTGCCTGCCTTGCACGTTGTTGAATGATGTTGAATTAGGATTGCTTTAACAACCGTCTACAGTTATTTTTTCATTCGATGTTTCAGAAACTCCCTCGAGGTGCAACAACTTGTGTTTCATTCAACTCCTCCCAAGCTTGGTTTTCAACCCTCAAGGAAGCGGTCAGCCAAGCTGCCAATGAGGACCTTTGGTGTTCTTTGTCCTGGCGGCCCAATGTTGGCCTGCCAGGAAATTCTCTGGGTGCAGTTTCCAAGGTGGGCTCCCCAGAAACGAGCTGAAACCAATCCGGTCAACCACTCCGCTCGACTCGACCAGTTGCAAGGGCTAGGGCTCCTGTTGGGCTCAGGGCCCAAAGGTGGTTCCATGACGGCAACGACAGTCAAGTGCTTTTGAATCGATTGGGATGCAGTCGGGCCGGGAGCGGGTCAACAGCATGTTGCCAGGAAGGGGAGGTCATGATCCTCTCTCAGGACGCTGCTCAAGTTGATTCCTGTGAACAGTGGATACTTCAGTTTCTTGGGACTTTGCTTCAGGATGCCATACGGTTTGGTCTTTTGGACTGTTTCGGGGCATTAAAGTTCTAAAGAAACCATCATGAGCACCTCGTCAAATTCCATGGGATGGTTGTTGCTCCACGCAGGACGCCGAAGGCATGGCCTTTGCTCCTCGACAGCGCTGGTCGCTCGCTCAGGGAGCTGGATGCCGCTTGACCTGGACCAAGGCCGCATGGAGATCTTGGACAACGGCACAAGAACGGCACAAATGAAACGAATCCAACCCAATAGCGGCTATAGCGATGGCCTCCACCCTAGCAGTGATGTCCTCCAACCTAAGAGTGATGGCCTCCAACCTAAGAGCGATGGCCTCCAACCTAATAGATGCCTCCAACCAATATCAATGTCCGAAGTCAAGTTATTCTGTGAACTTTGCCTTTCCTGAAAGAGCGCTTGGGTTTGAGACAGAGAGGTGATGGAGCATTTGATGAAGTCAGGAGTTTCCGTTGTGCAGCTCCCGCGGTCCGATTGGAAGCGCCATGAGCAGCCAATCTCACAAAAAACAGAGCCAGACCAAAGCTTCCAATCCCAATCAAAGTCCACCTCACGATCCCCCAATACTAGAATCCCCAAAAGGTAGTGGCAGCAGGGACGTTGCGCTAAGCGGCCAGGCAGGGACGTTGCTGGCTATTCTGGTGAGTCCCGAGAAGTGTGTGCTCTTCAAGGAGAATCCGAACGCCCTCTCGTCGGGCCCTGTTCTCGTCCTTTCGGTGGAATGAGAAATAAGAAAGTTTGAAAGACTCCAACACTGTATATATATATAAAATGATTTGGATTGCACTCTTGGCATCACCCTTCAGCAAAAAGGAGCTGAAGATTCGATGTTCTGATCCATCAGTCCACACACTGAGCCACAGAACTCAGCTCTTCCGCTGCACGATGCAGGAGTCCTCTAGTGGTGAGTGGAAAGAAATTGCGGCTGTGGATGGATCATAGTTTTCTTGCGCACAAAAAGAAAGCCAGTGCGGTCCCCGTGGCTGAGTGTTTTGGACTCCTTGTGTCGCCTTTTGTGGCCTTCTGCCTGGTTGGAATTCACCGGAGCGCACCAAGTGACAGGCTTGGTAAGATTGATTCGAGAGCTTTCGGCCCAAATGTCGCGGTTGGCAAGCATGGAACCGTGAGCCATGTTGAGTGCACTGAAGCGCCCAAGCTGCAAGTTCCAGAGTGCGAGTTGATTTGCGGCCAAAGCCTTTACGGCCAAGCTCTCGCTCGCGCTTTTCCAGTGCTTTTTCAACGTGGGAGAATCAGACCTCACCCATTGTGGGTCCTCTTGGTCCATCTTGGTCCCATGCAGCACCCAGGACAGTGCCGGCGCAATGGTCGGACCGCTTCTACCATGGCCAGCGGATCGGTCTCTTCCGCTGCTCGATCGGTGGAGACATCGCTATTAAGGTTGGAGGCCATTGCCAAGTAGGGTTTTCCTTTCATGAGCTTTAAGGTAGAATCTGGATGAATCCAACCCTCCCCATGGTGGAGTGTAAAACATTCTACAAATCTGGGGTTTTATTCATCTATATGGTTTTACGTTCAGTTCCTGGAGAACAGAATGCCATGTGAAGCGAACTGCTGGCGACGTCGCTTCTGTTGGTCCATGACAACCATGATCCTGTGCCTAAGTTCAATAAGTGCCCACCTGTGGTTTTCATGCTCTTGAACTCAACTCTGCATTTCGAGGAAAATTGTTAAACGGCATTTGGACATGACACCGCTCAGCGGAGGAACCCTAATCCATGGTCGTGCCGAAGTTGGTTTGAGGCGTAGGTTTGGACGCTTCAACTGGGCACCGCCCACCAGATTTGTGCGAAGCACCTGTCATTGACTCGGTTTTGAGCCATGATGTTTCGCTTTGGTTGGCAAAGTTGGCAAGTGTTTGGGTGCTGGACCAAGGAGTTGTGATGCTCTATGGTCTCGCTCGACTCATTTGCCACATGTGGCCTTCACCCACAGTACCAGGTGCCCGAAGGGGACAGTGGGTCCTAAAATCAATCTTGATACAAACCCTTGTTTGGGAGCACACCTGTCGGTAGAAACCACAAGACAACTGCTAACCAAATTGGGGGCGCGGATTGGAGGTGCTTTTTGTAGGTTGGTATTTGTTTGGAGTGTATGTGCGATGCCCAGTTCAAAATGCCACACGACAAGCGATCTGCATCGAAAAAAACCAGACACATGCAAACAATGAGCGCTGAAGAGGTGCTTCACAAGAATATGGCATTTGGATGCATTTGGCAATTTCTTCGTATTCATTCTTTGGCAAACTGTTTTCTGTGGTTCATTTTGGAGTCACTTCCTTCTACCTCTTTGGTTGAAGGCTTTTCAAAGGCAGCATTCGATGACCATCCAGGCATTGCGAGCTTTTTGCTGATGATCATAATTGCAGCGGCCGCAGAAGTCTTCCTCCGTGTGAGGCCGGTCGGTGCTCCAGCGGTCCCGCACAAAAAGGGCTCCTTCACACTGATCGGTGTTTTGATTGGGTGCAAGAAGGATGCTGTGCTGCTGAACCTGGGTGGTAACAGTAACCGACACCAGTAGCAGGTTACATATTTTGCACAAACAATTAAATACATATTTTTTTCAATTATAATATATATATATATATATCATCCAAAAACACGACAAAACGATCTTTATCGAGTTGTGTTTGTGTTTGTGTGGGGGAAGGCAGGGTGATACGTCAAATCCAGGCCAGACCTTCCTGGTGAGCTCAGCTGCCTTGCAGCCTTGGTACTTCAGCTGCTGGATGTCTTGGGCTCTGGAACTTCGAGTGAAGCACCCTTGGCATTGTCTGGTACCGAGAGCGCCGAGTCATGAGGACCATGGAGGACTATGGAGGACCATGGAGGTCAGGCGATCTACCTGGGCAATTTCTTGTTTTTTCAATACTTCAAGCGTAGCGGCAGGCTTAGCCACTCGCATTGGCTCCCGGTGACGCCTATGTGATCACCTATGAGAACACATTGCACATGCAGACATGCGTACACCAGAATAACATCAGAATACGCTAGTGTTTGCTCGTTTCCCTGGCCGAGATAACATATCTTTAGGTCATGGCTGGCGCGCAGCCACATGCTCTGGTCGCTTTGCACTCCTGCTTTTGGATGGAGACCAATTTTCGCAGGTGGGGGTGGGTTGAATTGGGTTTGGCGATCTGCAGATGTTCAGGAATCACACACAGCAGTCTGGTTTGGGTCTTAATCATGAAGAGGGGAAGCACTTTGTTTGTCTTCAATGGTACTTGTATGGCTTGGTTGTGGAATCAACTGCAAGCTTGGAGGCGCATATCTGCTGACAGTGCTAGTTTCCCACACTACCCTGCTGGGATCGCTACTTCAACAGGAGGCCTGGATGCAATGCCGGAAGTTCTGGACCGGGATTCTGCGGGAACACCGTTTGGGATCGCATATGTTTTGGATCAACCCGGTTTGCAGAGTAGGAAAAACACCCAGGAGTCTCGAAACGTCCCACAGAAAGCATCTATATACCTTACTCAGTGCGCCGTTCTTCATCTCACAGGATATCACAGGATCACCTGGGCATCTCGCGGGCAGATGGCATCTGTGCATTCCTCACCCGGCCATCCGATTCACCGCTTCCCAGTAGGCCATCGATACGTCTCTCTGTTTCTGACCCAATCAGTCCCCGTCAATTTCCCATCACCATCATCAGAGGTCTCTGCTGCGTGATGACTGAGCACCCAGGCCTTCAGCTCCTGGGTGCTGCGCGATCACTTGATCGGATTTTTCTTCTTTGCCCTTGCGAGCTTCGCTGCCGTGCTGCACTGGAACGCCTTGATGCGGCAGATCTACTGGGCCGAGCGCCGCGCAGCTCTCGAAGCGCAGGCGTCCGACGTCAGACGGGGTGGCGATGGGCGAACACGAGGAAATGGTTTCGCAAAGGAAATGGTAAGAATCTAGTCCCAACCTCAGAATACAAGTTAACATAATGGAATACAATAGAGCATCATATCACATCATATGACAACATCTAACTACTTCAACAACTGAACAAACCTCAGGAACTGCTCAGGTGTTTAACTGTCCACGGTATTTCAGACTCTTCCAACCGCCAGGCATGGGGTGAGCTCATTGCCCTGACCTGTGATTTTGACCTGGTGGTCGGGTCTGTGGAAGATCAGGCCCGGCTTCAGCAAAAAACTTCAAAGCCTTTAAGCGTTTTTTTTCTCCGTTTGTGACACGTGCACATCCAGTAAAATGGTGCTTTTCATGCCACGAAAGTGTGGAGAGGAGATGAAGGTGACAAAATGAGACATTTAACGACCATTCTATGACCATTCTGGATTCTGGCAAGGACAATGAACTTACTAACTTGTTGCACCGTAGGGAGAGTGAAGAGAGTAGTTGTCCGTGTCCGTGCCTGGCTGTAGGTCAAGCAAGACACAATCCTGAGAGTCTTAGAGCCAACAGCCAAGAGCTTGAACATCCTGGGTCGAGCTCTTGAAGCTGGTGAAGCCTTACAGAGCTTCCTGAGTTGCTTGGAACAAACCATCAGATCCCTTGGATGATCCGGCGGGGTCTTCAAGATCCGGACCCCGCCGGATCATTGAATGATTTCAACATCTACCCTTCTTGGACTCTATGATCTCAGAGAAGGGGGTTACCCTTTGAAAGAGCTTCTTGAATTAATTTCTATGGACATTCTGTCACGAAGGGTGTGCCGGTGGGTGTCAAAAGAACTCAACGGTCTCCCCCAAATAGTTCCATGAATATTCATACTGATAATTGCATCAAATGCATTAATCAAAGGCATGAGTGGGGGGTCTGGGGGGCAGTAGACCGTTGGGGGAACAATCCAAGAGACGAGGGAAGAGAGAAAGCCAGACCATCATTTGTAGGATGAGGAACCACTGACCCAACCGACAGATACCGACAGCATCCTAGACTCCAAACAAGGAGGCGAAAAGCAGAAAGGACAGGGAGAAGAGTTCCACAGTGGAAAGTTCATCTTGAGGTGCGGGACTTTCTACTCACTGACAAGAAGACATCTAGCAAAGAGCTCCAGGCTTGCGACTTCTATCGAACCATGAGAACTCCCACGTGTTTGTTCGTCACAATGACTCGAATCCTTCAAATGCCTCCAGTGAAGGAGACTCCGCCGCACCGCCCGCGTCAAACCAATCATCACACCCCTGGGTGCGTGGCAGACCGCAGACCGAGCAAGGCGACGAGCCGAAGGCACTGTCCAAAAGCCTGGCAGAAGCCAAAGAGCTTGAAGGCGATGGCCTCCGCCTACTAGCGATGGCCTCCAACCTAATAGCAATGACCTCCAACCTAATAGCAATGGCCTCCAATCTAATAGATCCTAATAGCGATGGCCTCCACCTAAGAGTGGACAGTGCCAACCTGCGCCTGGAAGGCTTTCTTCTGCCCACGCGACTCCAAGGCCCGGCGCAGGAGGACTGGAGCAGAGCGGAGACGGTCATGCAGCAATGCAGAGCTTTTTTTTCTTGGGGGGGGTCCTGCAGCAGCTGAAGATATATACTCTTATAATATATATATATATGGAAAACAATATATATATATATATTTCTGCTGAACATAAATGACCAGTTATTTCGGTTTCCTGACCTTCCCATTTTGTAGTTTGTTTGTTCACGTGAGGCACCCTGTAGACCCAGCAGCTTGAAGCCAGTTGTGAGCTTGGAACTTCCTCATCAACTCCTTCGCTGCTTTTCGGTTTGTCTTCCTGCGGGCAGGAGGTGCAAGTCCACTTTCTGGTGGTCCGCAAGCCTCGCGTGGATGCTGACACCTCAATACCTCTTCCGAAAGGGCAGACGCTTTGAGAAAATCAGCACCTGGTGGATGTTGGCGGAACGTTGTGTACCGAAGTGTCTTTCCAGTGCCTTATCTAGAGGCAAACATGCACATTGACATGCCCTTTGAAGGATTGAAGGGGCTGAAGCCGATTCGTGTTGGTATTGGCGGCTGTTCTACTAAGTATAGCATGTTTTGGTACCAAGGCCTCACAAACTAATGTTGTTCCCTAGATTTTATCAGATCCTCCTCCTCCTTCCTCCTTCCTCGCCACCTCAACAGCAAGCGCCAGATCGCAGTGGGCACTACCGGACCTCAACGGCAAGTGCCAGAATCGCAGTGGGCACTACCGGACCTCAACCGCAAGTGCCAGAATCGCAGTGGGCACTACCGGACCTCAACCGCAAGTGCCATCACACACAACCACAGTCACACAACCACAAAAACGCAAGCACAACCACAAGCACAACCACAAGCACAAACACGCAATCACAAACTCACAAGCCACACACACACAACCACATACACATTCACACAACCACAAGCACAGCCACAAGCACGCAACCACAAGCACACGATCACAAAATCACAAGCACACGGCCACAAACACACAGCCACAAGCACAACAACAAGCACAGCCACAAGCGCACAGCCACAAACACACAATCACAGGCACACAGCCACAAGCAAGATCGAAAGCCACAAAGCCCACTTCCATGGCAACATGCTTCTCACCATGGGCATGAACACAAATGACTGACATGTCATCGTGGGGATCAATCGAAGTAAAGTAAAGTTTTTATTAGATCAGTGTTGACAGGTTGTTTCGTCAGACGCATGACCTTGAATAGACCTTCATTTCCTTCAGGGCTACGGTTTTGCGCAGCAATCTTTCTTATAGGTTTTCATTTTCAGGCTAATGTTCGACTGAGTACTCTGTTCTAGAAAGCATCCTTCCTCCACCAGTCACACAGGTTCCGGCTCCAGTCCCAGGAGGGCGGGTTTATTTAGAAGGGGGACAACAGAGCCTGACCATGTATTCTTTTCAGAGATTGAACCTTAAAGGACTTGTTGCAGGGTAAGGCCTGAAGGTTTCTTTTTTAAGGTCTGGCAGCTTTACTACATGTACCACATGTGCCAGTGTTGTGCAGACTTTCAACACAGGCAATGAAGGAAACACCTCAAGAAATCGCACTTGAAAGCAATCAGTTGACCCTAGAGCTGGCCTTCTCTCCTCTCAAACCTAGATGCTTCACTTCAAAGAACCAAATTTCCGGGAATGCATCAATTGAACCAACGAACGGTTGAACCGCAACAACAGAATGGATCAGTCTCAGAGCCGAAGCCCAGTGGAAGTCTCAGAATGCAACATCGGATAAGATAAAGTCTAAGTCAATCTAAGTCAATATAATACGTGTATATATATGTATATATACACAGTATATATATATATATATGTCGAGAGTCGCTGATAAACCTTCTTGAAAGACGTTGCTATTGCAAGAGCAACCAGACTCATCGAACAATCAAACGGCCCTCAGCTATCCTAGATTGCAAAATTCAATATGGATACTGTATACATTTTCAGCCTACATGCTTTCAACTAGCCACTTTTGGGTATGACTTAGTGCCGCCATCCAAGGACCTTGGTGGCGAGCTATCTCGTGGGCGTGCGGATTGATCATGCTCAGGATCCACCTTCAGAACTGCTACCTCCTCCTGCAGAGCCAATGCTTCTCAATCTGAAGATCTGGGGCTAAAGGGGGTCTAAGCCCAAGTCAGGACAAATTGCAGCCTTTTTGAGTGTTGAACAATAGGAGAGACCTTCCAAAGACCTTCAGTAGAAGAGGGTGAAATCGATGGGTTAGAAGATGCAAACACATTCCTCTAGAATCCTGTAGATCCATTTATATAGTTGGGTGGGGATGATGGCCTCTCAGGTTGCATCGAGCATACAGCAACGGCTCGAACTGCCTCTCAGTGGCTGAGACGACCGTCACAGGTGCGGAGACGACCACAGGTGAGAGTCTCCTAGAGAGTCTCTTCACCAGGATTTTGAGATGCTGAGAATTCACTGCCCTGGGGGGTACGATCATTTGATATCATTTGCATCCAGTGTTTACAAAGAGCGACAGTATTTTACTTGCATGGCGAGGCCTTATAGATGGACATAAGCCTCACAATGTGAGTGCACGTCCTGTATGTTTTCAAGTTCCAAGTCAACTCAAGTCTTGCTCAGGTGCACTGTTCAGCACAGTCGAGCTAAATGGCACAGGCGCGGAAGTGGTTGCCTTGCCATGTCTAACTCATGCAGCATTCGCATCGTTCGACTCGAATAAAGAAACAGGTCGCAGGCGGTCACAGGTTTCGAAGGTCTTATCAAGGCCGCTTTCATCAAGTTTTTGCAATATTTTCAATCAGAAGACCTAATCCAATCTAACAAGTCAACAAAAGACGTCCAGCGAAGGCCTTGGAAGCTTGCTAGTGGCTTGGCATGCACAATTGTTGTCCCATGATGCACTGATGACTGGTGATGACTGGCTCAACAAACATTTGATGTTAGGTTACTTTTTGAGGACATGGCCAGCCTTCAGCAACTCCGGTCATACCTCTTGTAGAGAGAACATCTTGGCAACCTGACGGAGAAGGTTTTCGCCTATCTTGGTTGTCTCTTCCCATGAAAAAAGAAAACGGAGCATCATCAGCCTTTCAGGAGGTTGGCCTCAAAGAACACTGGCTGATCCCGCCGGAGAATCTGCAGCTCCACTGCACCAAGCTGCTGGGCTCTGGTGGCTTCGGCCTGGTCTGTGAGGCCCGTTCGGACGGTCGCAGTGCGCGAGCGTCCGTGAACGGACGGCGGTTTCGGCCGAAAGAGAGGTAATCTCATATATGCCATGCATGAAGATAGGATATCTCATGGTTTTCGACACTTGAGATCAAAGTGCGAAGAGATGAATCATCGACTCAAAGGTCGTCCCCAACATTGGGTGTCAAGGTAAGTTGGTCACAGGTCCCAACCCTCAGAAACATTGATCACAAGACACTTGTTTCTAATGGCTTCTAGTTACTACTAGTAAGGCACTTGTTCCTAGTAGCGTGGCACTTGTTACTACTAGCTACCAAACCGAACACAAGATTTCATACTTCCTCTTTCTGCAAGGCCCGCGGCCTTTGTCGGCATTTCGGTAGGAAGCATTGAGGGGTTGCAAGGACCAGTGGACAATTCTCCAATTGGTAACCTGTCATTTGCGTAATTTTTCCGCAAATCAGCGATAGATGACAGTCATTTTGCATGCATGAAAACAACATGAAACAACCGACAACTTTTCTCAACTTTTCAGAGTTGCTCCAGTAGCCTTGCATAAATAGATTAGGTACAACTCCAAATAATTACTGACAGTGCAGAACCTGACAATTGGAGCTTCGAGGAATGCAACCCAATTGACCGATTTGGGTCAGTAAATCCGATTGAAAATGGATTTTCGATGATTCGAAGCACCACGATCAAACTCTGGGAGACAGCTCGAACTCACACGCTCACAACCGGGGTGCCACAACCAGTGAGCAACTTCTTCCTGTTCAGGGCACGTTCTGTGGTGCCACGGTAGCCTTGAAATTCCCGAGGACCCCGACGTGCGATTTCGGGGTTTGCTCCAGTGGACGGCTTCAGTCAAGGAGGAAGACAGTTTCTAGTAGCTTCTTGTTCCTAGGATCATATGATGTCAATGTCAATGAGATTGAATGAGGTTGACCTCACCTGGAGTAAACTGAGATTGACCAGTTGCATACCAGAGGAAGCCAGGCTTTGGGTTCTTTGTTTCATACTCTCACGAGAAGACTGATATGCGACTGAACAAAGTGTCGATGCACCAGGAAAGGCATCAAAGATTGCAAGTTTCCGACTTGTGAGTCCCGAGAGTATATTCTTTTCATGCTGCTTGGTTGAACAGTCAGACCGCTTTTCATTGGACGCCGTCGGATACCGGCTGCTTCGCGCTTGAAGGGCGAAACTCCTTCAGTTGTGGATCACACAGCCAAATGTCGATCTTCCCCACTGGAGCCTTTGGGACACCCTGAGCTGTTCCAAAAGGCAGGCTGGTCTCTTTGTAGGCTGCTCTTTGTGTTGACCATGAACAAGTAGAACAAGACTCATTTTCTTGCGCTCAAAAGCCTCATACTGGACTCATACTGGTTATATAGGTGACCTCAACCCTCAGGGTCCAGGGTGCACGATTCCCTTCCAGCAGGAATTGAGTGACCAAACATTTGTTTGGTCGGCAGGCGATGGGTGTGTTGTTTCGCAATGTTTCGTGCAAAAAACCCTCCAAGAACAACATCTCTTGTGGTGGCTTGGGCTTCTTGAAAGGGGCTTTTTCTTTTTGCTGCCCTGTTCAACGCCGGTTCTATACAAGGACAGTTGATGGAGTGGTATGGCACCCACTTTGCAAGCAAAAGGTTTTGGACTCCAACAAGGGAGCACAGTCAAGGACCTCAAGGCCTTCATGTTCTTGTCCAAGGTTTTGTTACAACACAGTTCCAGGTATGACACTCCGATGCACTGTTTTAAAAACAGCTATGACAGTTGCGAAGAGCCAGTCTCCTTTGGCAAGGTATTTTGGCATGTGATTAGGGAATCAAGCCACTTTGGGCCAGTCGACTGGCTCATTTGAGGAATTACATCTCAGAGCTGCGGCTGCTTCGTCATGTGCGACATCCAAATATCGTCGCTTGGAGACATCAGGAATCGTGGAGTAGTAGAGGGGTCTGCGAGAATATTGCAACGCCGGAACATGAGATTGCCCAACTCGCCTTTTTTGGCTTTGAGAACAGCAAAATTACACATGTTTGAGAACGAAGAGCCAGATTCAGAGCGCTTTGCCCTCAAGTTTCTTCTACTAAGTGCCTCTCGACCAGATTCATAGGAGGTGTTTGTGTGGGGCTGCCTGGACACGACCTTCGCCCTGCAAATCACTTTCTTCATTGAGCCTCCAAGTTTTTGTCGTTTCGGAACACGGGGACGTTGGGATCCTCATCCTTCCTCGCCATCCGACCGCCTCGCCATCCGAGGTGTCGTTTTTCGGTGCAGCGGTCGATCCAACAAGCCTGGAGCTCATGCTGGTCTTCGAGAAGATGACCGGGAGAGCGTGTGGTGAAGCGTGTGAAGATGGGGCTGGAAAGATCTGGACACGCTGGGAATTGAGGTCTTTATAGTTTATTCCCCAATAGCCATGCTATGGGGGACGGGCGCCGTCGGGTCACCGTCAGAGCTGGTGGGCGGATGGTGTCCCGGTCATGTTTTGATGGCGTCCCGGTCATGTGATTGCTGGTGTCCCGGTCATGTTTTGATTGTGACCCAGTCATGTTTTGATGGCGTCCCGGTCATGTGATGCTGGTGTCCCGGTCATGTTTTGATTGTGACCCAGTCATGTTGTGATGGTGTCCCGGTC